AGTCGGATGGTCGAGCAATCATGATGGCCAAGTCCAGCACGAGTGATGACAGTTCGCTAGGCCACGACCTGCACACCGGCAATCAAGTAATTAGTATGCAAGCCGGCAGCTATCGTTAATAGGGCGAAGCCGATACCTTTCATTAGAATGCAGTAACCTGGCAACTGTACCCTGGAGATACTGTAACTCCGTGTGTATGCATTACTCGTTTATTCCCCTGTCTCTGATGATGGTTCCGTGACGGATTTCGAAACGTCAGGCGAATAAAATTCTTGTTCCAGCGTTCACACCTGCTTCAGCTCCTTCCTGGGACTCGCATTTTCGTTTGTATTCGCAGCTCTCTAGGTTCTCGCACCACTCTCCAAGAAGACTCCTACAGGTTCACTTCCCTTGACGATAGGCCCACAGGGTATTCCCAACTGTGAAAATGGACTTTCGTTGCACATCGTCGGCTTTGGAGTTGCAGTGCTGGCCACGCGGACCTCACGCATGTACTGGAAAGCGCCTGTAAAAACGTCTCTCATTTACGAGATTGGATGGAGGCGTACTGTGTTCTAAATTTTTCATAAAATTACAAGATTTCATGCAGTTGTCGTGCATTAATTGGCATGGGAGTTTTACTGCCGTCTTATCGAAATCTAGTTGAAAACCTTGAGTAAATCACTCGTAGAACATCTCCGAAAGTTGCCCGAAATATACGGCATTTGCTTTCGAGGGGAAAATCGGTTCAAATTGATTGGCAGCTGACACAATTCCAGTCCTTTCGTTTGCTGCCTACGCAAACATATTTTGCTAGCAGACTGCCGAAAACTTAATTCAGCGCTTAAATAAAGGACAATGTTTGCTTTATTGCACGTTTTTGCTCACATTAATATTCCTGCAGTTTTTATTTGCGGGTATATTGTTGTGTCTTAAAATTTATGGGCATTAGTAATGGCTTTAACATTAATCGCACCCTTCTTTTCAATATGCACTTTATACTAAAGTGTTTTAGTGTAGCAATGCCATGAAAAATGTGAGTTTTATTTTGGCATAAGTGAACAGCAGTAAAGGTACAGTAGATTCACTATCTCATGAAATCGAACGATTTTTTACAAGTAAATTCCTCTTACTCAAACGCAGCCGAAGCTGCGACCCCCAAAATCTTGCAGCAATAAAGTAATGGTTGTTCTTCATAAAAGGGCATATTATGATTTATGAAGGAATATAAATTTTTACAGAAATACCAGGTTTTTTAGCAAAGTGAAAATTCCGAAAAAGTGGAAATCGGGCGTATTAGGTAAACTTATGTTTTACTTGTAAAGGAAGTCTTTTCATGCAAAACCACCAAGTAAGTAAAGCAGCACAAGTAAAATTACGTTGGAAGATAATCCTTTTGTAAAGTTTTCGAACACGTATGCTTCCATATTACGTGCAATGTAATGTATGGCTGTTACCGAACAGCCCAAATTTCGAGTATGTATTTTAACGCGTTTTCACAAGAACTGCTAGTTGTTTCTTTCGTCTATGCATTACTTGAGTTACGCTGGACTAAGGCAACTACGTTTTCACTTGATATGCCCCATTCGGAGATCACGGCAGAAATATATTTCTTAAGCTCACCTGCGAACGTGCTGGTCAGTGAATAATAAATTTAAATAAAATTGTTAGGTAAAATTGTAATCGTACCATTTTTGTACACTAAAAGTAATTGCCTTCGGCCACATTCTTCTGTAATTATTTTGATATTTCCCTTACGAATAGGTTCAGATCATCCTTGAAATGCTATTTAAGACTTTACAATTTTCACTGGCTTCAGTCGATCGACAATAAATAATGATTTTAATCTACGTGCTTTTCAAAACCTTCAAAATAAAATATATCTTAGAAGCATTTACCTAAATAACGAGCTTTTAAGCATTTTTTTCTTATAGAGCTCTCTGTGCATGTCATGGATTCAGAACCACCCACGCGTGTCAACTCATTGCCTAGAAAAATGAAGGTCCACAACAAAATTCACGAATGAATATGCCTAAGATTGACTAAAAAAATTCTTTAACAAGTTATCTCTTGGAAGACAACTTTAGTTATATACTTTGGCGTCGGATGCCAGCATACTTTATTTTTTAAGATTAATTCAAGATCAGATTGGGAAATTTTGGTCAGTTTATGGATTCCCCTAAAAATTATGAACGCATCTTTTGTTATAAATAAAAAAGCTAACCTTTCTATCCATATCGGAATAGTTTTCAATATATTTGGTTACTTCTAGGCTCAGTTCTAAAATAACACATGCAGAGCAGAGTAGCAATAAAATCAAAGGCGATTTTTGAGAAAACTGTATCGTAATGTCCCGCGACATCTCACTCAAATGTGTGCTATGTTAACTGTCTTCAACTTTATGTTGACCGCACAATCGATTTATTTGCTATATACTTATAAAGTCTTCATTCGCATTCCTTGCTTACAACCCTTCATATATACAATATACATTTTGGTAGGATTGTGTCGTGGGGTCGTCTGAGGAAAGTGTGAAGCGCGCCCCGCAGGCATACGATCGAGTGATTTTAAGGGAGAGGACGGGTGGGGCATACCAGGGGAGAAATTAGAACCCAATTTGAATGCCCAGTAAAAAAGTTACGATGGTAAGTTGGGTCGCGTACTCAAACCTTGGTAGAAGACACTGAAGGTAGCTTTAA